GTTCATCAAATTCCCATTGTATATTACACATTACAGTACTAGATATACTACAATTCATATTGTATATTACACATTACAGTACTAGATATACAATTCCCATTGTACATTACACATTACAGTACTAGATATACAATTCATATAGTATATTATGTATTACAGTACTAGATATACAATTCCCATTGTACATTACACATTACAGTACTAGATATACAATTCATATTGTATATTACACATTACAGTACTAGATATACTACAATTCATATTGTACATTACACATTACAGTACTAGATATACTACAATTCATATTGTATATTACACATTGCAGTACTAGATATACAATTCCCATTGTACATTACACATTACAGTACTAGATATACTACAATTCATATTGTATATTACACATTACAGTACTAGATATACAATTCCCATTGTACATTACACATTACAGTACTCGATATACTACAATTAATATAATATATTACACATTACAGTACTAGATATACTACAATTCATATTGTATATTGCACGTTACTGTCCAAGATATAAAATTCATATTGTACATTACACATTACAGTACTAGATATACTACAATTCATATTGTATATTACACATTGCAGTACTAGATATACAATTCCTATTGTACATTACACATTACAGTACTAGATATACAATTCATATTGTACATTACACATTACAGTACTAGATATACTACAATTCATATTGTATATTAAAGGTTACAGTACTGGATATACTACAATTCATATTGTATATCACATGTTACTGTCCTAGATATATTACAATTCACATTGTATATTAAAGGTTACAGTACTAGATATACTACAATTCATATTGTATATTACAAGTTACAGTACTAGATATACTACAATTCATATTGTATATTACACATTACAGTACCAGATATACTACAATTCATATTGTATATTACACATTACAGTACTAGATATACTACAATTCATATTGTATATTACAGGTTACAGTACTAGATATACTACAATTCATATTGTATATTAAAGGTTACAGTACTAGATATACTACAATTCATATTGTATATCACATGTTACTGTCCTAGATATACAGTTCACATTGTATATTACACATTACAGTACTAGATATACTACAATTCACATTGTATATTACAGGTTACAGTACTAGATATACTACAATGCATGATACAACCATTAATAGGGACAGATTATGGCATGAAGTCTGTAACTCCATTTAGTAAAAGGTAAAATGAATAGTTTTTAGTCATTACTTTATACTCATGCATGTTTTAGTCGCTGTTCAGATTTAGTCTGAAAATAGCGACTTATAGTTTAACCTTGTGTGCTCTTCTGTATCTACAGCTAAAAACCCAACATTCCTGGCTCAATTACATTCAAACTACACACTCACATTACACAGCATAGCTGTAGAATTCATCAAAATCAGGTATTTCTGCAATTTTGGTCACCATGGATGGACATATTTCATTTACTAGGAGTACTAGGGGTCTGCCGGAAAATGTAAGAACTGTCGCGGTCAACTTTTGCAAGGGGACTTTTGGGAAAACTAGATGTACCAGCCACATATTTTTCATTGATGCTTGCCTTCGGAAAAAAGTTATTCCTGTTGGATTTAGACTTAACTTCAGAGCGGCAAGTAGCAGTGTATCGGACGCTTCTCTGCAACACTGTAATCAACGCCTTAATAGGTGTTCGTGCAGCCTTATGAATTCTACTATTCAGGACAATGTTTTTAAACGTAAGCTTCACCATAAACAGCGTCTTGATTCATTAGATTCACTATATAACCTGTGCCGACCAACCCAGATAAGTGCAATTTTTACGGCTGTTCACTCTCTGAATAAGCGTTTATACCATGCTTTGCGGAGACGCAAATTAATGAAATTGAACAGACTCTGTGCAGGTCTTCTATGCTATCGATAAAGAGCCATTGCTCGAAACGTCTAGCTATTTTTAATAGTTATTTAGGACTACGATTACCAAATATTATCTTCTATATATCATATTTCATTTAAACTTGGTTTGTTCAATATCTGATATCACAACATTCTTAATAACATACTTGTATTATGTTATTCAATGCAAACAATCAGCAGGTTACATTCAAGTATGTTTTATATGATTTAGATTATGATAGCAGAATTCTTGTTAGAGTACAATAAAAATTGAATCATGTCTCAGTATGTAGATTACCACATTTATCTGAGTGATTATTTATTTCAGACCAACCTCAGCAAAGACGATAACCGAAAGAGATGAAGCAATACAAAGAGCATTAGGTCACATGACAGATTCCTCAGCTATGATTATAAATGATGCACTCAATAAAGCAAAAAGACCAAGACCAGCATCAGCTCCTTCCAAAAATACTAAAGGTAATATCAATGATAATGAAAATTGTTTTACTTCTAAAGTCAACCAATGAATCATTTTACTATGAAGTCAGCCAATGAATTGTTTTTACTATGAAGTCAGCCAATGAATTGTTTTTACTATGAAGTCAGCCAATCAGTGATTTTACTATGAAGTCATTCAATCAGTGATTTTACTGTGAAGTCATTCAATGAGTCATTTTACTGTGAAGTCATTCAATGAGTCATTTTACTATGAAGTTAGCCAATGAATCTAAAGTCATTTCAACTGGTACAATCATACTATCAAGCCTATATTTTCACACATGTACTAATGTCTAATTACTGTTGCTCTTCAGGTAAACTACAAGAGCGCCATGCTCCTCATCGGCTGTTGTCTTGGAAACCCACTATAGATTACAGTCATCCCTTATCATGGCAGTGTTGTCTATCTATATTTGATGTATGTGGCATGTCTAATATGAGTGGGTTGTCAAGCAGTAATCATCAAGTGAAATTAAAGTCATTAATGATTATACATAATGCGGCTGCTTTTGGAGAGGTAAATAAATGTATCTGTATTTGATGTATGTGGCATGTCTACAATGAGTGGGTTGTAAAGCTGTAACTTTTGATGCTATGGTATTATAATATACTACGCCTGCATCTCTACTTCATTTTTAGCTCCGCTGTTGACTTTGTCGACAGGAGCATATCCTATAAGTGATTGTCCGTCGTCCGTGTCAATGTTTTACTTTTTCGACTTCTTCTTGAAAACTCCAAGCCTGGAAGCTTTGATACTTGGTGTATATGTACCTTGAGTAGAACTCTCTTAGATTTGTTCATTTCATGATGATATCTTCAATTCTCTAATTTTGATGAATATTTTTGGAAAAAAGTGATATTTTCAATGTCTTGTTAAAAACCACAAGTCCAATTGCTTTGATAACACATATATAGGTACTGCATGTGGACCTCTCTCAGATTTGTTCATTTCATGATGATATCTTTAATTCTCTAGTTTTGGTGAATATTTTTGTAATTTTTGGTAAAAAGTGATATTTTCGACTTCTTGTTAAAAACACAAATCCAATTGCTTGGTCATTATACATATAGGTACGGCATGTGTACCTCTCTCAGATTTGTTCATTTCATGATGATATCTTTAATTCTCTAATTTTGGTGAATATTTTTGTAATTTTTGGTAAAAAGTGATATTTTCGACTTCTTGTTAAAAACACAAATCCAATTGCTTGGTTATTATACATATAGGTACGGCATGTGGACTTCTCTCAGATTTGTTCGTTTCATGATGATATCTTTAATTCTCTAATTTTGATAAATATTTTTGTCATTTTTGGTGAAAAATGATATTTTTGAATTCTTGTTTGCTTTGATACTATACATATTGTTCATTTTCTGATGATATCTTCAATTCTTAATTGAAATGTGCATTGCTAACAGCAGAGCTATCTCAGGCAACAGGCTGCTTGTATATAAATGAAGTGTAAGAAAAAGTTACCATTCATGATTTCATGATGGTTTGTTGGAAAATAATATTATTTGCCTTGCAAATACAGTACATGTACCTCTAACAAAGATGTGCTTCTAATAGAGTAAATACAGTACATGTACCTCTAACGGAGATGTGCTTCTAATAGAGTAAATACAGTACATGTACCTCTATTGGAGATGTGCTTCTAATATAGTAAATACAGTACATGTACCTCTAACGGAGATGTGCTTCTAATAGAGTAAATACAGTACATGTACCTCTAACGGAGATGTGCTTCTAATAGAGTGAATACAGTACATGTACCTCTATAATAGATGTGCTTCTAATAGAGTAAATACAGTACATGTACCTCTATTGGAAATGTGCTTCTAATAGAGTAAATACAGTACATGTAATTCTATTGGAGATGTGCTTCTAATATGGTAAATACAGTACATGTACCTATATTAGTGATGTGCTTTTAATAGAGTAAATACAGTACATGTACCTCTATTAGTGATGTGCTTCTAATAGAGTAAATTATGTACATGTACCTCTATCATAGATGTGCTTCTTATAGAGTATATAATGTATACTGTTACTACTAAATCATCTTATTTGTTTCATTTTGTAGACAACTATTCATATGAAGCTGTCCTCTCTTGGATGTATTCCTAAATTAATTGAATTTCTACGACTGAATGATGGAGAAGATCTGATGCAGATATTAGGTAATGTTACCATGGAAACAACCACCACTCCTATGGATGGGATAATTGGTTTATTCTGTAAATGGGATAATTGGGTTATCCCCTCACCCCCAGTAGATAACATAAACCATTAATTACTTATCCTTCAGTTTAAGGGATAATTGGGTTATTCCCCAGTAGATGTGATGAAGATGACCCAAATATGCCATCTACATTTGTAAACATAATCATTGTATTTCATTTTGCACAGCTTTAATGACAATACGGACCTTAGTAACAGAAGACACAAGATTAAAGCAACTTTTTGTCAAACATGGTGGAGCTGATTTATTGATGGCTATGTCCAATTGGACAAGTGGAATGGTCAAAAAAGAAGTCACACAGACCTTGACAAGTATCACAAGAAGTAAGTTTATGGTTCCAATCATAATTATGACAATTTTGTTGAACTGTGTCATGTCATAATATGACTTGTTGTAGTTGTGGTTGTTATTAGCTGAAATTGAAATGATGTGTTTCTAATGCAAATTACACTAAACAGCACTCAGGGGAGATGCCAAACTGTGGTAGATTTCTTCAGTATTCATACTAGCACTCAGGGCCACAGTTTTAGGCCGTATACATATATATACTGTACCATATCACAACAGAAACGTGTGCCAAGTTTAAAGGCAATCTCCTCTTGTGGGGGACTGAACCACTTTTATGTAGGGATGTTTTTGTGGGTGAAAAATAGCCCTAACCTCATGAGAGCATTTTTTGTGAAAGGAACTCTTGTAATAAAAACTATGACAAAAATATGTCTGTCTGTGTGTGTGTGTTGGGCATTCAGTATATATTCATTCATTCATCCATTCATAAAGCCTACAGAAAGAGCTTTAATTTAAAAGGTGGTACTTGTATAGATATGAGTGTTTTCAGGATTCTTATACCATGCCATGATATTAACACCAATGGTGTTTCTGGCACTAATAGCTATCCCTTCATGTGCACTAATGTTTCCATGAAAGTGTTTCCCAGAAAAGATAAATTATGCATTTGTATGATCTATTTAATATATTAACTGATGAAGCAGAAAAGGCAGAATGTATTTATGCTTAGTTAATGATTCTATACACTGTAAACCCTATGCAATTTATCAATAGATACAATGTGTGGGAATTCCACTGGTCCCCTAAAAGTTAACTGTCTTCAGTCCATCAGTGAGTGAAGGTTAGACGGCTGTCTTCATATTTTCATTCAATTTAGTGAGCAAGGCTCCAATCTAGTGGTGAGTGGCTCCGTGAAGTGTGCTTGACAGTTGGTTTGTAAGTGCCTTGAAGTGCTCAGCTGGTTGTCTAATGGATCACGTACAAGGCAGAGGCCCGTCAAAAAGCCCACAGGGAGTAGTCCCAGTGGCTTGATCAGCTATGTGTCATGAATGGCATCTCAGCCACTTTTTGGACGCACCAAGATGTCTTGGAAATCGCCGAGTATCCATTGAGTTAATACATAGCCAACTATCTTTCCATCAGAGAAATGTAATAAACTTGTTCCTTGATGTGTAAGCTACATTGTACTATCAAGTACAGATTCAATCAGATTATGTTCCGTTTCATCACACTTTATTTGTTCTTTTTATTGGCTAAAATGAGATTTATACCTGGATGCTTAAGCGAAAGGTGGATTGAATTATGTCAAACAACACTAATTTGTTCTATATAGTTCTCAAGTTCATTCCTGGTACAAATGTATGAAACATCAAGAATAATTCATGTATTGAATTCTGTGAATTGGTAGTGATGACTGCTGTATACAAAGATGATACTATTCTATTCTCGATGGCATGGTGCAGCGTAGAGAGATCAGTGTATTGGATGGAATACGATTGAGTAGCTCTATGTTCTTTCAGAATGAAATGTTTACTGTCAGACTGAGTGTTCCTGTACAAGTCTACTGTGTGAAAATTGTGCTGCTATTATAATTATACTCCAAGTTATTGACTGTCACCTTAAAAGTAGTGCTTGAGTGTACATGTAGACTGAGAGACGGCGGTTTGTAGCATTGTGAAAGTTTAGCTTACTTTTTTTTACTTGGATTATGGATTTAAGTTGAAACCCTTTAACATCACCTTTGTATACCAGGTTAAAGACTTACATTGTACCATCGTTTTGTCAAATGTCTTTAATTTCAGAGAAACTGAGATGTTTGGTGTCCATTTAAATGGACTACCTGTGGTAAAGCAGTACCACAGGTAGTAAGCTGTATAAAAATCTGGATATAACCAAATATTGTTGTGGATTTGTATGCCTTGTAGTATCATGTCATAATCATTATCAATGGACAGTTTTGTCAATTCCACTGTCAATTATAATTATAATTGACAATTATATTATTGGATACAATATTGAGGTCATCAGTCATTGCTTAAGTTGCCGCTCCTCAATTCAACATACCTTCACCATTCACTCTAGATTTTAAGTCATGCTTTCTTTCTCTCTATCATCAAATAATTCCACTAGTGGCATAGTACAGTAAAATCTGTATTAGATTTTTTGATTTTTCAAAGTACCATAAAATATCTTTAAAAATCTAAATTACATTAGCATGTTTAAAAAGCGTTAATTAACAATAACTTGCGATATAAGGCAATATATTTTAAAAAGATCACATTATCACTCGCAAATTAGTTCGGAGTACACCAATTCACCATTCTGCACATGGGCTAATCTGTATTAAGAGCCACATCCCTAATAGAAGTCGCCACCTTTATTTTTGAATAATTGAGAATCATAAATTCATCATTTCTCATATGTGTACATGCATCCCCTCTTTTGCATTGTACCATTTTAATAGAAGCCACGGTTCTATTACAGATTTAGTAATAATACCACTTCCCGGAATTGGGAATACGCTTGAGATTATTTCTTATATTCCTTATTA